ACTCCTTTGCAACGAAAGTAGCAGCGGTAGAGCATGGCCATGTTGACAGGTCTTCATGTTGTAGCTCATCGTGATTGATGCTGGAGCTATATTGCTGGACCATGTGATTGACATTGGATTTATAATTTTGGGCAAAATAATTTTTTTTTTTTTTGTGTGTGTGACCCTAATGTCTCCACAGCTCTCCAAGCCGCAACTTGGGACAAATGAGCGGCATTGGATGCAAACAGACTGTGTACAGGGCTGCTCATCTGTTCCTAGCAGAATGCAATTGCTCCTTGAGCGATTACATGCAAACAGTTCACCACACCATTTTTTTACGTCCACCGCTCCAAGCTTGCTCCTGTGATGGACTACAATCTTAATACATACTAGTAGTCCATTACTGGAGCCTTTTTTTTAAATGTATTTTATTGTTTATCCGATTAACCGAACTTAATAATCGGCTAACTAATCGATTTTGAAAATAATCGTTAGCTGCAGCTCCATTGTGGACAGTATCAGCCTGTCAATTTGTATAGGCTTTCTGTCCACATCTAATCGAAAACACTTAGTTATACCCGCCAGAGAATTGCGCTGATCTGAGCGGTCATGAACAGCTATGTGAATGAGCCCAAGCATGCGATATTATATTGAGGGTGGAGGTGTATGCGCAAAGCCTTTCCTTCCTGCAAGGCTCCATCTTGACGGGGACAAGGTACTCATCCCCACAATTCAGGCCCAGAACCTTGCAGGGGGAGGAGGAGCACAAAGCCTCACCCCTCTTTAAAAGGTACCATGTTCCCATTTTGATGGGGAATGTGGCCTTGTACCCACATCCCTGGCCCAGTAGATGTGGGGGAACTTCCTGGAATCAGTAAGCCCCCTTAAAAGTAAAATAAGGGGCTCCCCAGATATCCATCTCTCCACCATATGTAACTATGGGGTACCTAGAAAAGAAAATACAAAATATACATAGTAAATGAACACACACACCTCAGTAAAAGTCCATAAAAATAATGAACAATGTCCCCGGATGTAAATTTAACATCAATCACATTGTCCAGCTGTGTAAATCCAATGTCAATCACGATGAGCGATGCCCACCGACCCTCAACTACTCCCACAGCTTCCCTTGCTGCTACTTCCGTCACAAATGACAGTCATCTGCCGACTGCTATATGTAAACAATCAGGCCAGGAATGCTGGGTTAAGTCAATGGCCATATGAGGACATGACCTACATTGACAGACAAAGTGATTGATGTTGGATTTAAATTATATATTATTACTTTTTGAATTAAGGACTTTTTCTAAAAGGTATGGGTGTTTTCAATACTCTATTTTTTTTGCGTAAAGGGGCTGGGCTGATTCCTTTCCCACTGCCACTGATAAGGCCACAGTCCCCATCAACATGGAGACAAAGTTCCTTGCAGAAGGGGAAGGCTCTGCAAGGCAACCTCAAGGTACCCTTCCAATGTTGAGGGCATGCGCCCTGGTTTGGCTCAGAAGTGGGAAATGCATGCTTGCCCTCGCCCCCACCCCCATTATATGGGCAGCAAGTCTGCATGCTTGGATAAGAGTCTGGTATAGACTTTTTTTTTTTCTTCTAAAAGGGACAATGTGTACTGTCACTTTAAGAAAAAAAATAAAAAAGCCATAGCCATAACTACATGGATATGGTATATCCCTCATTGGATATGGTACATGTCCCTCCTGGCAGTGCCTAGTTACCCTTTTTCAACAAAATCTTGCAATCTAGCCTTGAAAAAAATCCCCTCAAAAAATGACAAGATTTGCCGAATATAGACCTCAATGGGATTCAGGAGCTATGTTCAAAGTTTGCGGATTTGTGCTGGGTTCGGCAAATGTCTGGCAAGCCAAAGTTTGCTTAGTTCACTCATCCCTATTGCATCTAGAAGCACTGACAGGTTGTATGCTCATTGTGCAACACACCTCATTTTTTTTTTTTTTATACAAAAACCCACTTGACAAACAGGTTTCTAATGCAGCTAAAGATGAACACATTCCTTTTAGATTTGCTGCTACACTTTAATAACCTTTGATCTTTTGATGCAGCATAGATTGGCAGTAGTGCGTTATGGATAGTAAAAATACACTGCAGTAAATGGAATAGAAATGAACCAGAGTGCAATCGTGCAGTAATACAACAGTGCCGAAACCCAACAAAAAACACTGAATGTGACAAAATCTTTAATTGGTTTTTGTTGGGTGCACTATTACTGGGTGATGGCACTGGTAAATTTATTTAATTTAGCACGGTGTCATTTTACTATTATTTGTTGCACAGGTGCTTAGTTTTTATCCATATTTAGTGTTTAGATTAAGCGCAGATTATGTACATTATACATGGATTCGGGCTCATGCACGCAGGCGTATTGCAGAGCAAATACAGGCAACCAGAAGCCTCAGGTGCTGCAGTTGTCTGTCAATGGCAATGTATAAACAATAAATGTTGTACTTGGCAATGTATAAACAGAAAATGTTGTACTTAAGTGTTTATCCCCAAATGCTGGCACCAGCGTTTCTGAATGCAAAACTTCTGTGTTCATAAACAGTGGCGTCACAAGAGGGGTGCGGGGGGCGTCCCGCACCTGAGTGACACCAAATTGACTGACAGTAATTTTGGTTTCACCCCCTCTAAAAAGTCAGGCACTCAGTCATGGACAGAGAGCCCGACAGTGTCAGGAGAGAGGAGGGAACTCGGCGGCATACCTCATTCCACCGGGTGAACGTCCCCTCCTCTCTCTGCCGGCGTTCCGGCACAAAGATGGCCGCTGGCAGGCGTCAATTAAATGGTCTCACGGCGGGGTGTCACCCGGTCTCCGCTCCGGGTGACACTCAGCTGCAGGACGCCCATGTTCAGAAACATACCCTGATATGCAAGAAGTCACCCGCACACTAGTGGACAGCAACGTTTCGGAACGATTAGCCATCCCTTCATCAGGCATACATAGTGACATCACTATGTTTGCCTGATGATGGGACGGCTAATGGTTCCCGTAACATTGCTGTCCACTAGTGCCACTATGTATGCCTAGTGTCTACATAAAAAGGTATTTTGACACGTTGTACCTGATGTGTGGGTGACTGCGTGCATATTTAGATTTATGCAGTGCCATCCACTGTTCACTTCAGCACTGACTTGATTGCATTGGGATTCCCGGTTTGGAGTGTGGCGCGATGCATGTCATTTTAGAAATGTACCCTGTGCATGTGTAAGCGCTGGCGCCAGCATTTGCAGCTGTATACCAGAGTACAGTGTTTTCTCTCTTCACATTGCTATGTACAGAAAACCGTAGGAGCAACCAGGTGCCGCCAACACAGGCGTATTTTATGCCGTATGATAATGTGCCTCTATTTGCTCTGCAATACGCCTATGTGCATAAGCCGTTAGCATGTTATTGTTTAAACATATACAAGCACAGTTAAACTGTTAGTCAATATTGACACACAGGAGGCACTGAAATTACAGGTGATTGAAAAACATTGACTGTTACAAAAGAGTAAACAATATACAGTAATATAAGGCAAGCTGTCATTGTGTGATCACAGCTATGACAGCTCCTTCCTGGGTCATCTAAACAAGGTCACACTGACATGCATATAGTAAAGTAACCCTGTCCCAGGATCTGCAGGGTGGCCTATCTCCACCCTGTCCCAGGATCTGCAGGGTGGCCTATCTCCACCCTGTCCCAGGATCTGCAGGGTGGCCTATCTCCACCCTGTCCCAGGATCTGCAGGGTGG